TTATTATCCCAGCAGACCCTCTGAGAACACTCAGAAACATTCTCGGCTTCCGCGGAAGCTTACAGTGCAAGCTGCGGATTTCACGCGCTCAAACACTATCAAACTGACAAGATCGTTCACTGTCTATAGCCGGGTACCCATTTCCACCTGGGTGAAGTGAGGAGAATTTGTGCAAAGTGCCTTTCCCAAGGACACAACGTCGGGCCCCTGACAGGATTCGAACCCACGACCTTATGGTTGTGAGTCCGAGAGCCTAAAAAGGTCGACATACTCGATAAAAATTAATGTTCTCCCCACTAGGGATTCGAACACGGGTCTCCTGCGTGCGGCATGGAAGTGCCTAACCTCTATATCACAGACGCCGGTCTACTTTTTAGTACATAATATATTGTTTATATGATATAGCCTATAGATATAAAATGATTGTTGTACTGTATATTTCCCCAAAGAAGTTGAGATTGTTTCAGAATGCTATAAGATCTACTGGGGTAAATATTATATTGTAAAGCGCTCAGAGCTTGCAGTTGAACCGGAATTTGCGCTACACAATTGTTATGTATTATCTACTATTATTATGTACGTACCATCTTTGTCTGTTGTATAGCGGTTGTATCTCTCTCAGCCCGGGTTGACCCTGACAGGCAGGGCCAAAACAGCCCACCTCCTAAATGACCTAAACTGTCCATGTGTGTCTTGACACAAAAAGTGTTTATTTCCTAAGTCAGTCCTCATTTCAGACCTTGGTCATGTAGAAATGAATACCTACTGTAGTTTAGCTGAAATTTCACGCTAATTAAGAAAGACGGAGATAAAAGATGCGAATTTTTTCATGACTGCTTAAGTCAAATCAATACAGGTTCAGTCTTAAAATTTGGAACAAATTGGTGAATTCTATTCAAAGTTATACCAAACACGAGGCATTTCATTTTTTTTAAGTGGACAGCCAGTACCCCCAAAAACTCGACAATAACAGCAGCAACAAGAGAGTTGATTTCACCATTCCCTTTATTGATAGCTGAAGTTGTACATTATATTATTATAGCGAGTGACCCTCTACCCCAACCTCCTAAAACAAAGTTTGTAGTATGTACCTGTGTGTGTACATGTGTGTGTGTGTGTGTGTGTGTGTGTGTGTGTGTGTGTGTGTGTGTGTGCGTGTGTGTGTGTGTGTTGGGAGGGGGGTGCGAGAAG